TGACTCTCAGGGAGAGAAATAAAGCATTTTGTATGCTTCGCATGCTCTGGGCAGATGCACAGATCTGTAACAATTGAGAGAAGCATTAAGTCAGGCTTCTGTGTTAGGGCAGACAGCACGAGCCTTCAAATCCAGCCAAAGAGGTTTCTGTAGTGAGATCCTGGTACAACCAAAGGCAGCAGCAATATGGCCATGACTTCTTTGAGATGAGGAGTACAGTCTGGGTCCCCTTCAGTGACACAGTAAAGCGCTCAGAGAAAAAACAAAGTGTTCCTGATTTCAGCTGAGACACAGGTGGTGGAAAGCTGCCACAGCCAATCTTATGGCATTACACCTGTCCTTCCTCGCTCTGATGCTTTGAAAACACCCTTTTCAGGTCCTGTGCATGTCACCCCTCTTCTGTGACAGCAAATTGCTTTGCTAGGGTCAAGTTTGCCTTGATAAGCATTGTATACTCAATTTCTACATTTAATCCACCAGAGTGGGAGCTAAAAACATATACATGAGCTCAGGCCAAACATCCTTTGGTTTCTCTCATGTGACCCTAAATACTCTGCAGAAGTGATAAGAATGGTAAAAAATTTACATCTCTTTAGAACATGCACTTAGAAGGTGTTGAGCTGCACAGCATGAAAGAAGAGAAGGTCCATTTTGTGTCTTTGTTAGCAGCTAGATACTGGCATAGCTAAGCCTGTTTTGAGCATAGTTTGACAGGAAAAAGGAATATAAAGTACCCAACTTTATTGCTTTATAATGCCTGGCTGTTCTGCAGAAGTGTTGTTATGGTAATCCAAGGACATAGCCAGGATAACTTGTACTGCTCTGTGATATTTGAAGTAAAGAATAGAAGACTAAATCTTCATGATGCTTTTTCTTCCATTTGTAGGTTCGAATACAAGGATTGACAGGAAATGTTCAGTTCGACCACTATGGTCGCAGAGTCAACTACACCATGGATGTCTTTGAGCTGAAAAACACTGGCCCTCGAAAGGTATGTACTGACAATGTTTAATATCCTCATATCATATAAATGAGTTATATATGATGAAATGCTTATGCAAACTTGTTAAACTGAACTTTGCAGTTTAAAATATATAATACATTGAATGCATGGACAATATTTTTGGTGAAAGCAGTTTAAACTGCATTTTCTACTAGATACTATTATTCAGTGCAACAAATTGGGGAACACAAAATAAGTGTGCATCTTAGAGTGGTGGGATGTCAGTCAGTCAAGCATACTAATGAAAACCAGCTGCATGGCATGTTGCTGGGCTGCTGGGTGATGGAAAATGGTCAGAACTCTGAATAGTGGATATTTCTTGTATCTTATCCAAAGATTTCTGTCTTGAAAATTGCTTGCATTTTTAAGCGAGTTGATTTGTGTGTTCTGTGTAAACATGAATCATAGGCTGTAAGTAACATAGAGATTTTAAGGGTGAAAGGAGAGAAGAGGAGAGATGAGGAAGAGAGAATGCCCTGAATACTTACATTTTCTGAAATTAATTGCAGTATCTAATCCTGTGTGCTTGATTTGTTGGTTTTAAGCAACTTAGGCAAATGCATATTAATATATGTCTAAGCAGATCCTCCATGTCTGAATGCCCACTATCTCTCAGCCCAATCACTTTGAAAAGCTTAAGCCTGAGTACTTTGTTGACCCTTTCTCTTCTGTGCTGAAATTTTTCTATTTATCATAGTATAAGCGAATTAAAGTAGAAAATGTACTTAGGCTCAAGGATTTTATTTCCTTTGGAGTCACTGTGGTCTGTTTTGTTTGTGAGGTCATTTAGAACACGAAAAGGGGAGAGGGACTTGTGAATAGGAGATTTGTGGCTGCTTGAGTAGGGCCAAAGCAATCAAAATTAATTAAATAGTCCTTTGCTGTTGGGCCAGAGGTAACAAGCCCAGTAAACAGTACCACAGGTAAGCTGTGTATCCCTGGGGACAGTTACCTGTCACAGTGCTGAGGAGACAGTTGTTAAACTGCACACCCAGAGCAGAATTACACACCAGAATGAACAAATTGCCAGTACATCACAGTATAGAGCTGTAAACCAAAGCAAAGCATGTGCTTGTGTATAAGGCATGTTGGTGCAGTTGCCTTTGGAAAGTATGACAGATGGCTGAAGAATAAATTGGGAAAGGTGAGCTTGTCTTCCCTCTCTCTTGGGAAGTCCAGTGTCTCTTGCCAGGCAGTGTCTCTGACCTTGTTGTCAGACCTGCTTTGTTCCTGGCTCCGCACCACGCTGTCGACATCCAGGAGGATATATGGGTGGCTGGGGTGCATCAAAAGCAAATGGTGAAATATGCCCTTTCCATCCTCTATTCCCAGCTGTACAGGAAGGAAGGCAAGGTCCAAAAGATGTGGTTAATTAGGTCACAACTACAGTAACTCATTAGGGAATTTGATTGTCAGCAAACTGTTGAAAAGGGTTATGTTTCAACCTTTGTCACCTGTTCTGGGAGAGGTGTCTGGCTGGCAAACCTGCAGGGATGTCCCAATCCTCTCTTCTTCCCTGCAGTTTGAGGGGAGGACGGCTGCAAATAGAGGAGCTATGTCTGTGCTGTGCTAGAGACCCAAGGTGCTTTTCTTACCTTTCAGTCATGCCTCTCTGCCACTCTTAAACCATTACCTGTCTTTGATATAACTAGTCATAACAGCTTTGACAGATCTGTCTACTCACAGGAATTTATTTCTCATGTATTAGATAGTGCTTTGTATGTGATCATTGGACCAATTCTGTGCTGCAGCCTGACAAATCCTATATAATACGTGAGAAATGACTATACTTAATTGAACTAAGAGGCCTTCACTTTTAATGTCTTCTTCTCATGTCCTACATAACATGACTTATGAGTCACTCAGCAATATCTTTTCAGGACTAGCCTTTCCAGTCAGAGTAACGCACGGCTCTAATCTTTAGAAAAGTGATTTTTGTAGCCCATGGCTTTAAATGTGTGAACAGCCCATTAGAAAATGGCACAGCTAGACAGAGGCAGATTTCCATACAGTTTAGTAAAATGGGAAGCAATAGCCAATGCTCATGTTGGTTTCATTTATGCAGCATTTCTTACTTGGTTCTTCTCTGCAGAATGTTAACAAAACCTGCTAGCAAGGGGGAAAGGGTGTGAGGAGAAGGTTCACAGAGATGGAATGGAATGGCTCCTGTGACTGGAGTGTTGCAGTCAAGAAGTGCAGGCTCTTTAGGAAGGACAAGTGGGGTAGATGAGGATGGGAAGTTTCTCTTTATGTGAGATAGCAGCTGGAGTGCATGGAGCTCTGCCTTAGGATAAGAGAGGAGCCAATTGAGGGTTTATGGATTAGGATCAAAGAGAAGACAGGTCAAGGTGATGTTATAGTGGGTGTCTGCTACAGGCCACCTGAATAGGAAGGAGAAGTGGATAAGGTCCTCTACAGACAGATAGAAGCAGGGCCATTCACAGGCCCTACTTCTCTCAGCCACCCCAGTATCTGCTAGTGGGACAATACAGCAGGGCATTAGCAATCTAGGATGTTTCTGGAGTCTATGAAAAACAACTTATTCTTTCAAGGGCCAGAAGAGCAAACTAAGATTGATGCTCTGCTGGACCTCTTACTCACCAGCAAGGAGGAGTTGGTTGGGAATGTGAAGGTCAAATGCAGCTTTGGCTGCAATAAGAATGAGATGGTGGAGTTCAGGAGCCTAATGGCAGGGTAGGGCAGGGGTGAAAAGCAAGCTCATACCTGGGGAAAGCAGACTTTGGCCTCCTCAGAGATCTTCTTGAAAGATAAGTGTTAAGGTGCTGGAGGGAAAAGAGGCCTAAGACAGCTGCTTAACATTCAAGGATCACCTCCTCCAAGCTCAAGGGGGTTCCATCCAAACAAATAACAAGACAAGCAAAAGTGCCAGGAGGCCTGCATGGAAGAAAAAGAGCTACTCACCAAACTCATAAAGGAAGCATACAGGGGGTGGAAGCAAAGACGAGTAACTGGGAGGAGTACCAAAATATTGTCTGAGCATCCAGGCACGAAGTTAGGAAAGCTAAAATTGAATTTAACCTAGCCAGGGATATAAAAGACAACAAGAAGGGCTTCTATATGTATACAGGTGACAAAAGAAGAACTAGGGAAAATGTGGGCCCTTTGCTTGATGAGACAGGAGACCTGAATACACAGAAAATGGAAAAGGCTGAGGTACTAAGTGCTGCCTTTGCCTAGGTCTTTACTAGCAAAAGCAGCTTTCAGGAATCTCAGGTCCCACAGACCAGGGAGAAAGGAATATGTAGCCTTGTTGGAAAAGGATCAACTCAGGCAATACTTTTGCAAACTGGACATATGTATGTCCACAGGCTCTTACAGGCCTGGTAGATGAGGGGAGAGTAGTGGATATTGGATTTCGGTGGACTGGACTTCACTAAGGCCTTTGACACTTCATCTTGTAGGATCCTCCTAGAGAAGCTATTGGTGTATGGGCTGGATAAGCAGACAATGAAGTGGATTGAAATGTGGCTGAAGGGCCAGGCCCAGAGGATGGTAATCAGCCATCTGAAGTTTAATTGGAGGCCAATAATTTTTGGTGTACCCCGGAGGTCAAAACTGAGTCCAGTCTTGTTTAACATCTTCATTAATGGCCTGGATCTGGGGCAGAGAGCACCACCAGCAAGTTTGCTGCTGACAACAGACTGGGAGGAGTGGCTGATATGCCAGAGGGTCATACTGCCACCCAGAGATACATCAACAGACTGGAGAAATGGGCCAACAGGAATCTCATGAACCTCAAAGTCCTGCACCTGAGGAGGAACAACCTCAGGCACCAGGACATGCAAGTGGCTTCCCAGCTGGAAAGCAGCTTGTAAAAAGGTCACCGTGGGTTCTGGTGGACCCCAGGTAGAACATAAGCTGGTCATGTGCCTTTTCAGCAGAGAATGCCAACAGTATTCTGGGCTGCATTAGGTAAAATATTGGCAGCAAGTTGAGGGGGTAGATTCTCCCCCTCTACTCAGCACTGCTGAGGCAAAACTTGGAGTGCTGTATCCACTTCTGGGCTCCTTAGTACAAGAGGGAGATGGAAATACTGGAGAGAGTGTAGCAAAAGGCCACACATATGATTGAGGACCTGGAGTGCCTCTCCTAGGAGAAAAGGCTGAGGGAGCTGGGACTGTTCAGCCTGGAGAAGTCTCAAGAGGGATCTTCTGAATGTGTACAAATACCTAAAGGGTAGGATAGGACCAGGCTCTTTTCATTGGTGCCCAGGGACAGGACTAGAGCATGAACTGAAACACAGGGAGTTCCTTCTGAATGTTAGGGAACACATTTTTACTCTGAGAGTGACCAAGCACTGGGTAAGTTGTGCGGGGAAGTTTTGAAGTCTTCATCTTTGGAGATATTCAAAAGCCATCCAGGCAAAGTCCTGAGCAACTGGCTCTAGGCTGAACAGTGGGGTTGGACCAAATGACTTCCAGAGGTTCCTTCCTAGCTCAGTGATTCTGTGATTGTGACATTCATCATTCATTGTGTCACCAAAATGGAAAAAAAATGGAAAAAGTAAACAAAGCATACACATTACATGTACATGCACAAGACAGTCTAATATTTGGCTTCTAAATTCCAGCTTGGGCAACCTGAAAATTGATTATCAAAACTTTTCAGTATTCTCTTTCC